AGTTCCACCAGGTTGTTGATTTCCGGACATTATCTTGATTGCAATCACACTTAAGCATGAACCAGCAAGCTCTAATTGATCAAAAATAAAGGTTTGATTAGTACACCACGAAAGGCTGTAGAAGCTCTCTCCTCCCACGCGTCTCCAATCCCTCCCCTCTTGACACACACCCTTCACACTTACAGCTGGGGAATAATTGGGGATTTCAATTGGAGGAGTAGCAACTCCCTCCGCCCACGCGTCCCTCACAATTGCATATGTGGTATTGAAGTGCAGGGCTTGAGACCGAAAGCGATACGGAGAAAGAAGTAAACACGGCATGGATTGCCACGGCAGCTGAATATGGGTTCCGGGAGATTTCGATGGAAGCATTCCACCAGCAGGTCTTTGGGCCGGCTACTTCAGGGGGAAAGAGTTTGGGCCGGATACTCCAGGGGGCAACAGCCCGGTCCGACTATATAATAAACTGGCCCGGTCCACCAGCAGGAAGTGTTAGATGTGAAACGCACAGCTTTATTTAAGTGTGAATTGCCTATATTGCCCTTCCGACAAACCCTCTGCGGGCTGGAAATTTGAATCCCTGCAAACTGAACCCTTGTTTTGGCTTCATATATCTTATAGAAGCAATGAGTACATTAATTCTTACATTGAATCTCGATAACCCACTAACCACTACTTAATCCCACATCTCATAAACTTAGGTGTAGTTTGGTTTTGGCCATAGTTATATCAATGCATTGGGATCAATACAATTTATTGTACTGTACACTTGTACACTGTATTCCTTTTTTATAAAATATCATTTTTACCCTTGTTTTATGAGTTATCACTAATAACAAAATTGAATGGACCAGTTTGTAGGATTTTGAGGAGATATCATGTGGAATCAAAATTGGGGGTGAAATGTGAAGAGATTTGGGCAGATGGTAGAGACATCAACGAAAAAAAGTGGAGGAACTGAGCATGGGTGTGCTTGGGAAAAAAAAGTGAGAGATGATTAGATAATAAAATTTTAAGGCTGTTATGGGAATATAGATAAATAACTAGAGATATAATTGGAACAAAAATGAATCAAACAATCTCCACTCAACTATCTCAACAATCTGAAGTTTTACTTGAGATATTAATATCACTCATTTTGAGTGATTCTTTTCATCACCTCAACAAAACAATGGATGCATTGATGAAGGAAAAAAAAATTAAAAAAAAACGATGCATTGTCGACAATACACACATTGTAACAATCTCACATAAACTATCACCAAAACCAAATGACCCCTTAGCTTACAACCCAAGTAACTTCGGACAAATGATTTGACGCAAACCTAAACAATGAGGACCAAACTGAAACTTAATCAAAATCCAGAGTTCAATTTAAACTAAAACATCTGAATTTAGGTGCACATGAGGGCTTGATCTGGACAAATGGGCTTGAAACATCTATGGCCGCACGACCAGTCCTTCACATTAATCTTAGTCCTAGCAACTTTCCACTGTTAGAAACTTTCAATCCTTCCATTGCCACTCAAAACCATAGGTAGATGTGTGGTTGCAATGTGGTTTAGTGCTTCTTGCTTCTTTGATTAGGTTTTTTACTCTCTTTGTCAAACTTGATCATGGTTTTGCTTTACATTCAAATCTTAATTCCCATCTCCTAGGTGCAAATATGGCATGCAAGAAGCAAGAAACATGACAAGCTCCTGATAAAAATGAAAGAATGATGGAAATGAAGTGTTCACGTTGCCAAATCACAAAACAAACAGATGCAATCCCAGTAGTAAACCAGAGGAGATCAGTGTAAAGAATGTAACATACAAAATTGAGAATCTAAGGTCACTTGGGATAGAACATGTGGCAATGTCAAGATCACGAATATGCCAAAGTCATTTTTCATGTGGGTTGTGAATGACTTCAATGTGCAGATCTGGTCTTTCCATCTCATTCGTTATGGTCAATTCAAGATAACAGAGCATGATGTGGAGAGGGTATATAGGTCATCCCGAGGTTAATACGAAGTCGACATATCAAAGCGAATCACCACATAGATGAAAAGTTCATGGGGAAAGAAATTAGTTCTTCCAAATGTTTTAAAAGGGAATCCCAAGCTCTGGCATGTGAGAGCCAAATTGATGAACGAGAAAAACCCGAATAAATGGAGAGACTTGCTTGACATCTATACCTTTGATTCTATGTTGTGCCGTAATGGAAAACAAAAGGCAGGCCAAGCATATTTGAAGTTCCTGCAACCAGACATCATAAATAACTTCAAACACCATAACTGGTGCAAGCACGGTGCATACTACTTTAATCAGAATATGTCGGAATCGATGAAGAAAGGATTCCATTTTCAAATGAGACGTCCATCTTCTATTTTTGAGTGCCTTAACTACATACCTATTTATGTGTTTTTGGTCTTCATTGGGAAAGACACTTGTGGTGTGCTTTCTTTGCTTAATAGTCTGCTTCATTAGGTTTTGTGGTTTGCTATCTCTACTTTCTGGTCATGTTGGTTATATTTATGGTATGCTTTGTCTACATTTTGGTCTGTTACATTAATCTTGTGTTATGTTTTTTATGAGGTTCGTGGTCACCTATTTGCTGTGAATTTATTACAACTATCGTCAGACTTAATCTGTATTTCATTGCTTATGTCCTAGCACTCCATTCTTGACCGAGTGAACTACAGCCCTTCAAATGCCATGGCTCCACCAACTTGTAGGTACAATGATCAACAAGTGTCGATAGTACGAATAACCATTAACAGAAGTAATAGGAGCAGGGGCCCATACATAAGAAAAGATTAAATCAAGTGGACGGTACTATACAAACTTGAATTAGAAAACAGAAGTTTGTGACTCTTATTAGAAAGACAGGACTGACACGAGGAAATACTCTTTTGACTCTTTTCGTGAGACACGAACTATGGTCTGGCTTGTTTGCGGTCTCCTCCTTTTATGTATTTGAAGAACAAAGTTAGTCTACTCTTCATCCAGTTGAGAGCTAACAAATTGTCAAATGATCCCTTATGCGTTATCTCCTTATCAAAGAACCATAAAAAAACTAGAAAGATATATAAATAATAGGGATAATAACATTTTGTGCCCCTGTACTATTGCAAGTTAACAAACATGCTCCACTACTATTATTTTGCACAAACGTATCCTTTAACCATGAAAAGATAACAAACATGCCCTTCCATCAAATTTCCGTTAACTAACTGTTAAAGAAAACAATAAATGACTAATTTACCCCTCAATTGTTTTTCCCCAACAAAAAGAACTCGTTAGTTTGTTTTTCATTATTCTCCACTGCCCCACGCACGATACTCCCACACCAATCTTCTCCGGTCCTCCTTTCCAGAAGACGACCACACCGGTGGCCGAGAAAAAAATATCGAACTTTAGTAACACAAAAAAATTTAAAAATACAAAATGCTTCAAAATCGGAATTCAAACATAAATTAGGGTAAATTTAGGTTTACCAGCCAAGGATGGAAGTTTCTGAAATGGTTCAGCGGCGAAGAGTATCTGCTCACCTTCAAGCTAGAATATGGTTTGGCTTCTTCGTAACTCATTCCAACGGCGGTTGATTACGTATTCTGTCAGAGTTTTGAAACATTATCAACACTAATTAATTGAAAGTAGAGGTGATTACTTTTCCATGGAGAACCCCTTTCTCTCCCTTGCGGCTGAGACGGTCGCCCATTTTTTTCAAACATGTATGTTTCCACCTTCTCGTATAATTCAGATCTAGAGGTGAGAATTTTGCGGATTAGTTTGGCTAGATACGGTCAAGCAAAAGCTGGACCCAATGACTGAATTGTCGGAGTCGCATCTGAGGAGGGTCGTCGGTGTCGGGATGAATGTCCCGTCGTCGGATAAGGGTTGAAGAGGAAAGGGGCAAAAGAAAAATTAAAACTAAATCAAATAACTGCATTAAAAAAATGGAATAAGTGAGGGTAAAAAAGTCATTTTTCATGTGATTTAACTGTTAATTGACAGAAATCTTAACGGAAGGATACGTTTGTTACGTTTTCATAGTTCAAGGGTATGTTTGTGCAAAACAATAGTAGAGGGGGCACGTTTGTTAACTTGCAATAGTAGAGGGGCACAAAACGCTATTATCCCTAAATAATATTCACTGACAATGTTTGACTATGGAGTCGATAAACGTAACACTAGAAAAAATCCAATCGCCTTGATGAGATAAGGAAAATTATTGCGAGACAAGCAACCATCTTAGTGGCTCAAAATGACTTTGACGTCATAACGACGGTGATCGAGAACCTTCCGGATCACTCGAGAGAGGAGAGAAGTGATAGCACGAAGAGAAAGAGGGAAACGAGGCTATTAGATGTATTTATTTTAATGGATACTAGATAGAGCCGTGGAGACTGGAGAGAGAGTTTGGAAATTGAAAAAACCTCACTTCTCTCATCATATATTTATTTCTTCTCATTTTAATTACGATCACTAAATTTTTGTTTCACCAGCATATTGGTCATTGAAATTTTTATTTTTATAGATAGAGGGAAAGAGTTGGAGGACAGAATAAGAGTGAATTTTTTTTTTTTTGAATATGGTCTGCTTAATTCAAACCGTACACTGCATCGCACAAGCGTGGTCTGGTCCATGATTTGTGTTCCAGGTCTCTCGATCTGACCCATGGTTGTCACTCCGGTAGGCGTGCCACCGGTTGAACCTGGTTCAACCGATACCGGTCATAAAACCGGCCCGACACCAGCAGTATGACCGACATGATCGATATACGAATCTCTAAGTAAAATGGCCTTATTTTAGTGAATTTAATTGATAAAAATAATTTTATTATTTATTTTATGAGTATAAAAGTTAAATATTGATGCTATTTGTTGGATTCAAGTATAAATGTTTAAGTATACGTTAAATGTCATGTTTAAATACTAGTATTTATAATTTTATTTGTAATATTCACCGGCACAAACCGGTATATGCCATCGGTTGAACCATCCCACTTGCTAAATCCGCACACATGCATAAACCGATTTGACAACCTTATTCTGACCACAAACCGTTTATTTGGTCTGGTCCGGTGCAGACAGCTCTGTTTCCCAACCCTACCCCTCACTTCGCGACGCGGGCTTTCTTCTTCCTCGCGAGCGAACCCTAAACCTTCATCGATACTTCAACAGAACTCAACTTGTGTTCTTTCGTTCTCCAGCAGCGCCATCCACTTCTTCCACTCAACAATCGACCCCTCCAGACCTTCCTCCTAAACCCTGCTTGAAGCTCGAGTGCACTCCCGTCAGTCTCCAACAGCCACATCCACCTCTTCCGCCGCTGAATCACTCTGCTGCCGAAGTATCCTCCTCCGACAACTCAGCTCTGGTTAGTCGCCTCTTTCTCGATCTGTCGCCGCTGTAAGTTTTTTTTTTTTGGTTGCTAAGGTTGCTGCATATCCAAAAGAGCTCTGTTCCGTATGTTTTTTGGTTGTTTGAATTAGTGTTGGTTGAATAAGCATGAAGAACAGAATGTGCTTGGTGGTTTGAATTGCTTTGAGTTTTTTTATTATGACCATATGAGTTTGGTGGGTTGAATTCCTTTGAGGATTGATGGCAACTAGATGCATGAGCAAGCAGAGTATTGGTGTTCTGGTTATTAATCAGCTTCAGCAGGAGCACCTATGTTAATTGATGTTCTGGTGGGTCCTTGGAGAATTGTTCAGCAAAAATTGTTCATCTGTGATTTTACTCTTCATAAAGTATCCAGATCGTTATAAAATTGGAAATATGGGAATAGAATTAGGGGGAAGGCTGAGGGTTATGACTATTGTAGGCTATGAGATTGGTTTTTTCTTATTATTGTTCAATTCAATTGAGGGTATAAAAATGCCAGGCGGAGTAGGAGGGGATTACATTTACAGGGGAAGGTAGATTGGGCAAATGTGGTGTCTGGACCCTGGAGTGAACGAAGACCTCCAATAAAATGCTTTTACTTCAATTATTTTTTAAGGTCATCCAGTCTTTCAATTATTATAACTAATCATCGAGCGTACTGTTTTGATTTCTGTGTGAATGTGGCTGATAGACGTTTTAATTATTTGGTTTTTATGTTCGTTTTGAATTATTTTGTTCGGGTTTATTTTGGTTATTGTGGAATAATTTGGGGATTAATAAGTTGGGGTAGTCAGTAGGCAATTGTGTTTAGGTATTTAAACTATTGTTTTACGATAGGAAAGGCAAGCAAGATTAAACCTATCAAAAACCTACTCTTTCCTCTCTCCTTCGGCCGAACCTTCCTTCCCTCTTCTCTCTCGGCTGCCGAGCAGCTTCTGCTTCCTCCTTCTCAAATTCCCCAAACTTCCTTCTTGCCCTTCATCCTTGCAATCCAAGTTAGCGGGTCATCCTCTCATTGACCCCCTAATTCCAAATCCCTAGATAGAGCTCCGTTTGGCTGGTTCTATCAGTGGCTGAGCAAGGTATTTGCTTTTTTTTTTTTTTAGTTGCAGACAAAAAGATGAAGAGGCGAAAACTGAATAAGAAGGTCGTTGATTCTACGCCCCATACCATCTCGAACACGGAGTATTGGAGTGATGATGGTAATCGTTTCCTTGAGTTTCAGTTTATGTTAGATTTTACAGTCCCTGGGTTTCATCCATATTTTTGTTATTCTGTTCTTGGTCCTATATCAAATTGGCCATCTTCGGTAACTTGGAGATCTACTAAATCATTTTTGTTACTTAATATGTTATAAATGTAACACATTATGATAATGTAGACTTTTTGTTCGTGTAAGTGAATATCGCCTGCTCCATAGTTAGGATGCATTACCCTGCTCCTCTTTTGCCATTATTCCGAAAAAGGACTGTGCATTCCCTTTTGTGTAACTAAAGGTCTGCCTTAATTACGGAAAAGCAAATGCTCAGGCTTAGCTGTTGATACATATTGTTTTTGCAAATACTAAGCTTATTTGGATGATGGGTGGATGGCAAAAGTTTCAATTTTGAGAATATCTCTGTAGCCTTTAGAACTGGCAGTATCAAGAGAGGGAGAAAAAAATGAGCGACAATAGGTCATCCTTTTAAAGAATTTCGTAATGAGCTGCTCGTCTTTCTGATTTATTCTTGCTGGACTGCGACACTGCTGCCAAACTCACACAAATTCATGCTCGAAAAAATGACATGCAATTTTCTATCATTGTTGACATCACAGGTCAGAGTGAGGTTACCGAATCTGGCTATGACTCAGAGTCCTTTGCGCTAGATGAGGAGCATACCTTTAGGTTGGATGCTCATTCTGCTGTTAAGACATCTACACAGGAAAGGTATTTGTTCCTCTTGTGCGATTCTTTCTTGTTAATGTTGGAATTCATGCTTTTGGGTTGATATTGCTCGAGGGTGTCTTGATAAAGTTCTGCTGGATGGTCTGTAAGGTTAATAAACATAACTAGTATGCTCACTTGCTCAGACATGAAAAGGATGAATACAGTGTCTGAATAATCAGTAAGGTACTTCTGATGAATTATTGCCTGCTTGCATCTCTACTATGCTTGCTTTTCCATTAAGTAGGTGCTTAACTCCATCATGCACAGGACTAAGAATGACATGTTTCGTTGTTTGTTCATTTACTTGAGCTATTTTATTGAAAACCATCAAATCTTTTTTGTGGAGGGCTTATTTGGTGAAAGATAAGAAAATACAAACTCTGCTCATAGAGAATTGATGTACCTAGACTGCTTAAAGAGCTAGGGTTGGTGAAATTTAGGGTTTTTTTTTATAGGTAGGAGGAGGAAACTGATAGAACAGTCGCGAACAACTCATAAGGTCTGGGGGTCTAGGGCCAGAACCAAAATTAATGGACTTTTAAGAACCCACAAGGAGTATTTTTCGAAATGTCTTGTTGAAAACTGAGTTGATCTGAAATATTCTAAAACTAACCTCCTTATTTAGGAGTTACAAACTGAACGCGCAAGAAAACTAATAGAATCTTAATTATGAAACATAATTAATTACTAATTTCCTAAAAGACATCAACTTACAAAAGGAATATAATAATTTTCTCAAATAGTAAAGGGTGAGAAAAAAAACCAATAAAAATAGAGTAAAAATATATCCCCATCAGGGATGATTATGCTTATTAGTAAGTGATGCTCACATGACCTTGCAACTGAATGATTAAATGGTATGCTATGTTCTTTTGTGAATGAAATTTATGATTCTTCATTTATATTTTATTATCTTGACAGTAAGTTGCACAAAGTGTGATTGTATCCCCTTTTTTCTACGGCAGACACACTCTTTACTTGATTGAATACTAAAGCCAGCTTTTATGCTCTGGGTTTAGGAGTCTTGTCTCGTTAAGGACTAATTGTTCCTTGAGCGTGGTGTTACCAGGTTATGTTTGTCTTGCAGTTATAAATAATGATTGATCTTATTTAATGGATAAATTCTTTTAAGGTCGATGATGGTATTATTGTCAGCACATGTCCCCTGAATATTAATCTATGTCATTCTTAGTTGTTGCATGCTCATGTCTTTGTGGGAGATGCACCTAAATATTCTACTGTCATCATCTTTTGGTTTCTAGCATGAGTGCTGATTGTTTGCGTGTGGTTGATCATTATTGTCCTTGAAAAAGCATCTGTAATTGCTGTCTTTCTGTTCGTATTTACTTCTCAATAACCTTTTGCTGCAGCTTCTCAAAGTCACTATATCTTTGTGCTTGCAGTTCTTTTCTTTTACATTTAGAAAAAAACTTATCCGATGAAGAGGTCGAGAGTCTTTGCAAAAAGAAATGGAAGTACAGATGGGAAGTGCCTTCTCTTGACTTGTCAAATTGCAAGTGGGTGGGGACAGGAGATTGTTGCCTAAAGGTACGCCCAATGTTGACTGTTCATTTACCTCTTTCATTTGAATTATTCGTCTAGGTTTCATTAAGTTAGGTCTACGCTTCTCCAATTTCTTTATTCATCCATGTTTCTGTTAGCTAAGACTATGGTGATTAAAAGTGACGATGGTAATTATTGTAAAGAAATCATGTACTCACATAATTCATTGGTTCCTAATTTCCTCAATGAAGACCAAAGAGGTGCATCTATGCAACTTAGTAGTTGATATGATAGTAAGTGCACTCATTTTCCTAGGTCAAAGGTCAGGACATATGTATTTTCATCTGAGAATTAATTCTAGGACAAAGTCAGGTTCCTCGTTACAATGTTCTAAGTATGAAAGAACAACCAATATGGATGGGGTTACCAGTCGCATACCACACAATGGATACCCGGACTATACATGTAAACACCTTTACTCTTAACTGTAATGCCATAGTACTAGATTATGGCTTGAAGATTTGCAATCTACTTGCTACATATCATACATATTGCCATATGAGAATTAATACTAGGTCCTTGATACCATGTTCTAAGTACGAAAGAACAACCAATATGTATAGGATTACCAGTCGTATACCACACAATGATACCCGGACTATACGAGAAAACACCTATACTCGTAACTGTAATTCCAAAGTACTAGACTATGGCTTGAAGATTTGGAATCTACTTGCTATATATAATGTTGAATCTTCTCGAAAAACAATTTTTTTTTACTGTGAGATTCAATTGTAACATATTGAATCATTTAGACACAGGATATGTTGGACAGTTCTACTAGGGATGTCAAACAAAGTTTGTATAAGCATTGGTTGGAAGTGTGCAAGCTGTATGGAGGCAGAGATTTTCCAGTGTCTAAGCATAGTTCTTTCTTCAACATCTGTAAGTTGTTTTATTCCCTGTAGAACTATGTTTATTGTTCAGTATCCTTGTCTCGATTTTGTAATTGCATATGAAGAACTCTCTTGATCAACTGTTAGGAATAGGATAAAGCCACCATTACAATTTCAGGTTATATGAAAACCTTGTTGAATGAAACATGTTGATATTATCATTTGATGTCTTATCAGCAAAATCTTCGGCATTTCGGGCTCTCTAGTTAATCACTATTGTGCGCTCATGAAACATGTAATACCTAATATTTAAACCTAATTTCTTGAAAGAATGTAGTCATATTAAATTTGGGGAAACACTAGACTTCACCTTGATTTCTTCTATGGTGTGAAGAAGCATACTTAATGAATTCCATGGTGTAGCAGATCGAAGTACTTAAATTACTGATACTAAAAAGGCCCTTAAATTAAGCTAGCATGTCTTGATGCTTTCATGTGCTCTTTTGGTCTAGAGGAATGAGATTTCTATCACTTGACTAATCTTTGTGAACTAATTTCATTTCTATATTTCCTGAGCAGAACCAGTGTTTGGATAGTCCTTGTGAGAGTTTTGTTCCTCCTGCTTTCTTTGTTGTAGTGTTGCCTTGCCTTTTCGTTACTACTGTACTTGTTTGGAATGCAGTTTGACATACTGTGTTCTTTGTATCTGTGCAGCTGTCTATAGTTGATGTTCCTTGTTTGTTTCTGCAGTCAATAGCTACAGGGATGTATTGCATTGTAACAAGAAACCTTTCTATCTCAAAGGTCACGAAGAAGATTCTAACATTATGGACGCGTACCTCATGCATTCTGTGAGCTTGCATCTCCTTTTCTTTTGTTCTGTAGTGGTGTTCTTGGAACTGTATATCCATAATCTCAATCTGGTAATATTATGTTGCAGTTGAATCACATTTTTAGAAGTATAGATCTTGTGAAAAAGAATGATACGAAAGTTGCCAAGCTTCAAGAAACTGCTGAAAGTGAGTTGCTTATTGACGATGTTGTTCGTGATCGCGGATTCACTCGGCCAAAGGTAATTTGGATTTTTGCTTTTAGTTTGTCTTCTAAGCTGGCTGCACCTTGGAAGTGACAATTAATGATGCACCAAATTAGGCATTATTGCTTACGGGAAATTGCACTACCTTGTAGCTGCAAGATTCAGAATGATAATATCTGTCAGTTGATAAAAAATATCTTGCTTCATTGCTTGTAAAAAATGTGGCTACTGACCTTTCAGTGCTGCTTAGAGTACTGCTTAGAGTACTGCACTACCTTGTACCTGCAAGATTCATAATGGTAATATCTGTCAGTTGATCAGTTGATAAAGAATATCTTGCTTCATTGCTTGTAAATGTGGCTACTGACATTTCAGTGCTGCTTAGAGTACTGCTCTCCTTGTATATCTTAAACAACTAATAGAAGTATTCACTAGCCCTCCTTCCTGCCCATGCATATGTACATGTCCCACTCTTATTTTCTTGTTTCACCATGTTCCCTGATCCAGACAAAGGGAAGTTCGTTACCAAATAACGTGGGTGCTTGTTTTTACTTAACAATAGGTTAATGATAAGTTAACCCGAATGAGCCAACTTATGAGATATTGGGGTAATGAGTGGGTGACATTCTGTTTTATAGTTTTCTCTCACCGGTAGTGAAAGACAATCTTTCTCACCTTTATTTTTGAACCACTCAGGTTAGTGGTGTTTTATTAACTACTACCAAAATGTCTTACTCTATCATCTAAACAAAATGTTTAATCATCCAGATTCGAAATGGGGTTACACACACTATTACAACTTAAAAGTAACTGTAAAACATAACAAAGAGCCCCAATGTTGCCTTTTATTGCATTTAAGTGTTGAATTAGAAGTGCTACAAGACCCTCTTGAACTAATGTTTTCCCCAGTCATTGGAAGTTAGCGCACTTGCTTATTTTTGTCTCAAATGGCTATATCAGGTTTTGATCTTGTTGCCAATTAGACACATTGCACTTCGTGTTGTGAAGAGGCTGATTCAATTGACTCCTCAAGCTTCAAAGGTAAATTGTCCAGTATTTTCTTTGTTCATAAGTAATTTTGCATTTGTACCCATCATTTTCTTCTATGATTGACATGTGGAAGGAATGGTGACGGTAGGTGTACCCATTATTTTTGGACAACTCTTCCAAGAAAATTATTCTGTAGTATGTTTCATCAGTCATTCTGAAGGCATACCTATGAAGCAGAGACAATTTTCCTCCTGATAGATATTTCATTTCTATCCTTTTGTGTTGGATATAGTTTTCTTAGGCTAGTTAGACGGTTTCATGCAGGTAAATGTGGAGTTCATGGATCGATTCCTTGAAGAGTTTGGATATCAAGAAGATGAAGCCGATCTGGACAATGAAGAATTGAAACTCAAAATTGGAAATTCAAAATCTCAGAAGATTTCTAAGCCATCTGACTATGAAGCACTTTTTGGTGGAAATTCTGACGATGATTTTATGATTGGAATTAAATTTACTAGGTAAACCATTTTATTTGGTGGGATGTAGCTTTACAGGAATTTCGCTGTTAACTTCATTGCTTTTCTTCAGTCTTGACATGCAGGATAACCTTTGTTGGTGAATCTGAGCTACTCTTTGTGGCTTTTCTTCTCTTCTGCATACTCTTAATTGCATGTGGCTTCCATCTTCTTGAATTTCTTTCTCAATCCTTTTGTGTCTTATGCAGGAAAAGCATAAGGTTATATAGTGACTTTTATTCGTCGGACATGATTGTTGCTTCTCCACTTGCGTTGCGGGAGGTATCGTTTTATGCGTCCTTGGAAATTTTTTACATTTTACTTTATGTCGAGCTTCTCATTAATATTCCGGATAATCACGATCTTGAAGACGTGGTGAAATCTGTTAGTTTAGTAGTTGAACCATTCCACATAAAAGATTTAGTAGTTTATCCCAGAATAAGGTAAATTCCCATTTGATATGCTTAAGCTTGAGAAGTTTTTATCAACTCTTATGCTGTAAAATGCTACTACTGTTTTATTTTTATTTTTTTAATTTTATTTTATAATTAGGACTTCTCACTACCTGGATATTTGAAGCATGTATACCTTAATATGCTTAATCCAAAAGTTTTTTACTTTAATTGAAAAGTCAGGGTTCTATGATATACAGCAGTTCTGCATTCTGGTTACTTCTGGAAGTGTTTGTTTCCATAGAGATCCAACTTCATCAATTCTAGTGTGGCAGAAGATGTGCACAACCCAAAACCTGGCAGGCTTTAGCTATGCATTTCTGTGACATGGATATAGACTTTGGTAGCTCAGATACACCAAATTAAATTCATTGATTTCTTTGTAATAGCCTTTAATTGTCCTTTGGGTCATTGGGAGCCGTAACTTAAGGTTGGAGGGGATACCAAAAGGCTTAAAGTAAAGGAGCTTTTGGCTGCAATTAGATTGCAAAGTACTTATTGCAGGAAGTCCTGCATTAAACTTTGTAGAACTTCACATTTTTGTGGTCGAAAGAACTCTACATTTGTCGGTATATGTCAGGGAATTACTCTTTATTTTATGGTTTTTACCATTACATTTTGTGGCTTGGGAATAAGTTGCTTGGATCGATGAAGAACATAACATCTTATCTAAATTTGATTTCTGACATGTTGGTCTTTCCAGAAAATTGACAAAGTTTGGGCCAAAAAGGAAGAGGATTTTGATTATCTTTCTTCTATTGAGGTATTTACTCTTTGCTATCTCCTTTTTCTCATTTGTCGGCACATGCCTTTGAATATCATTACTATTTGTTCCTACTATATTCTTTTTGCTAGATACTAAATGGGAGGAATGTTGTTTCACTGTAAAATGAGCAGGTCACCATAGTTGATCATGCTGATGTAATAGCAATGCAAGTAGGTGCTTCGAACCCATTGTTTGTCTTGAATTTGTATGCTTATTCACATTCGATAATTTGACCCTCTCCCCTCCCCCTCCCATGCTGCCCCCCTCCTACGCTAATGCATGTTGATTGGAACTATTTAGAACTGGGAGCATCTTGCTGTAGTTCTTGAACAATCCAACCGCATGCCCTCCAAGCAACACGGGACTGACATCATGCGCATTAGAAAATGGTTTGTGAGTTGGTCGTTTCATGTTCTTTTTTCTATTATCATGTGCCTTATCTCTTTTTCTGTATAGGCAGCTGGATGGGCATGCCAGATTTTACCGTCAAACAATTGTATTAGGTCATTATGTAAACCCAGGTATACATTTCTAAGACATTGGTATGCATGTCTTGCAATCAACTATAAACTTTTTTTGGGGTGGAAAATTAATTATAAGCTCAACTAGGACAAATGTTATTGCTATATTTGATTCTGTATGCGCTTCCATTTTTTAGGTAATTGGAAATATGATATATAGTTTATATATTGTCTTGCTAAGATTGGTCTCTGAAATCTTGATACCACTGTGGATCGATTGAAATGACCAAGAACTGGTATATACCTTTTTTTTTACAATGAACTGGTATATACCTGTTGAGTCTGTTTCTATGACCCTGTTCAGCCTACTTAAGTTGTAACTATGACTACATCTTGTAACAACAATGGGATGACAGTCTGGGTTCTCGTTTGGATGCTTACATTCTGACCAATGTGTGTAGTTCTTGTCAGTTTTGGCCTGTTTGAAAGGAAAACTGGCATGAGCACATAGCACCACTCAGTCTAATGCAATGATGACCGCCACACTATAGCTAATCCATGTTTTTATTTGCTTTCTCTAGATATCAATTCTTCATTCAATAATTGGTGTGTTAACTACCAAGGAAAGGTGAGTTCTCTTTTTTTTATAACAAGTGTGATATATGTTTGTAGTGTTTCCTAAGAGATTTGAACCTGGGACAACCAGGTTCAAGACCAGTGGTATTACCACAGGACCAAGTCCTTGTTTGTTTTCTCTTACTTGCTTTGTGGAAAGCATCATGCATTATGATGTACGTCAAGACCTGCCAAGATGAATATCAACATCCCTTCAGGTTTTTTGAGTTATTGTATCTTGGAAGTCGGTTAAAAGTGTTATGATTAAGGACTGAGGTCACTGTTAGGTTGGATTGATGAATTTAATAGTTGGTTTACCTTTCTATCTATCTTGCGGAGCTCCATGGCTTCTTACGAAGAACTGTGAATCTCCGTAGGATCTTGGGTCTCTTAGTTTTGAGTAACTCAATCCTTTTTGTTGAAGTGAACTTGTCGTCTATAGATGGCTTCACCATTGGTGCAAGGGGAAAAGGTTCGACAAAAGAGCGAAATGCCAAAAATGCGAAGGACCTAAAACAATCGATTGATGAGCATAGTTATTTTAGGGTTCCATAATGTATTTGTTTTCCTAAGATGTTGAGTTTCAGCCATATTTGAAAAGCTCAGTCCAAATACCATATCAGCCTGCTTAAATTTGTACAGAGTCCAATATGTGAGCAAATGATGTTAAGAAATAGTAACCAAAATCGCAGAGAATGGGTTGTGAATCTTAAGGGCTTTGCTGATGATGTTGCTGCTGTGTGGTTCTTTGGAGTTCTTTTCATTTTTCTGTAATGTCTCTCAAACGGTTGCCAATTATCCTGCTATCAGATCAAGTCGGTATGTGAGACTCATAAAGGTGTTCTTCGTAAAGTCCTACCAGACCTAAGACAGGTATGCTGTTTGCTTTTTTTCACTAATTGTTTATCGGTTATTATGGAATACACCTGAGTTCTTTTTATCTATGATATCCTTGGTGTTTATTTTAGTCAATTGACACTGCTTGATGGTTACTGAAGAAGTACTATTCTGTACCAACCATTAGTTAAATTGAACAAAACAAAAAAATGCTTAATGTATCTGGAATGGATTCTAACATGACATTTCAGTTTATGAATTACTTATTCCCAAATGTGGTGTCTCCATGTTATCGCTACCAATGTAATCAAAATAGCGCTTTAAAAGCCTACGCTTTCTAGGTCATCAAACGCTTTTACGTAGAATTGAGCTTTTCCTAACTAATGTGGTCCAAATTGCGGTTTAAAGCTTAAAAGCTTACGCTTGTAGGTCACCAAAACGGTTTTATGTAGAATTATGCTTTTGACTCCATTGGTTGCTACATTGATGATGTAGTTGAACTTGTGGCATTTTCTTTTACTTCCCGACAAAGTCGTTGCTGTGATGCCTGATGAGTTTCAATACATGGTTTCCATTCTTGTACAGATCTACGAGCGATTTGACGTTGGCTCAATTGCAGATATCGATGATATACGCCTTGCTCATTTCATTAATAAGGTTAGCTCTGAAAAGACTTAAACGATCTCTGTTGTAGAAGTATCTTATCGGGGGGAAAAGGAAACATGGGGTCCAATAAAATTGTTGTGCTTTGTTGCCTAGGGGTCCCGGAGAGATCCCTGCTGCTTAGAAATGAATTAACATTTTTCTATGTTATTATTATTTTGCTTCCGTAACTGTGGGTTTTGGAGTTAATATGGATGCATTCTTTCATCGTCGAGACTATGAACATGTGTGGCTTTCAGAATGAGTGTCATTGGTTAAGTATAAACTTGTGCTGACAGAAGTAGAATTGATCATCGATGTTGATTTGATGATCATTTTCCTTGCAGGTTTTCCCGAAGATCAAAGATTCTGAAGAGGTAATATTTTTGCTCTTCAAGGCAGATGTGGTGAGTGAGGAAAAAAATAAAAAAGCATTGTGATGGTGGTGTTGTGAAATATTGTGCAGGGAGGAATCATGATATTTATCAGTTCTTATTTCGAGTTTGTTAGAGTTCGTAACTTCCTGAAGTCTCAAAACGCATCATTTTGCCTGCTTGGAGAGTAAGGATCATTCATTTGTCTATTGATCTCTGGGATTATTCCGAGTGAAGCTTGTAATATAAACTAAGCATCTATTGTCACTTTCACTGATTCATTTCAACCGTGGATTGTGTTGCAGCAACACTAAACCTAAAGATGTGTCACGTGCGCGGAACTGGTTCATCCAGGGGAAGCATAAAATCATGCTCTACACTGAAAGGCTTCTTTTCTTCCGCAGATACAAGGTTGGTTTGGCCCTTGCCTCGCCTCCCCTACCCTCACGCTTCATCTCTTGTTGTGGTTTAGATGGCTACCAAACATGAATCATAATATTTGCTGGTGTGGTATGTTTCCTGATGACCAGATTCGTGGTGTGCGAGACTTGATCATCTATTCACTTCCCGAAAGGAAAGAGTTATATCCTGAGGTTAGCATTTTGAGAAAAGAAAATTGAAGTTGTTTGAAGAGATGATTGTTACAGACAACATTCGCTATTACTCTTGTTATATCAGCATTTGCAGAGGAGAAATATTCATTGTGTGTATGTTTGTCTTTCCTGTCTGAAAATTTTTGTTCATTTTTTGGGGTGGTGGGTTGGTTTTTGCTATTCTTGTGCAGGTTGTTAACATGCTTGAAGGGGCCAACAACAGTAACATGTCATGCACTGCACTCTTTTCCAAGTTGGACTGGTTGCGGGTAAGTAGTAGTGCTTACCAATAGTGAATGATTTATCTGGGAAGGCAAAGCAGAGGTGCCTTTTTCATTGTTAACATGAGGGGGTTGAGAAACTAATCCCTTGTGCTTTTGCTTTGGTAAATAATAATAATGCCCCTGTTGCTTTCTTAGCTGGAGAGAATCGTAGGGACTGCTTCAGCAAGAAGGATGGTGACGTCAGACAAGCCGGTGTTCGTGTTATGTTGAGATGAGAGTAGAGTGCATTTAGTGGGTAAGTTTATGGAGCAAAAAACTTTAGTATCACTGTATCAGGAATCAGGCGAGTCCACTAGATGCAGATAGAGAGCCATGGAATCTGCTTGGATGGTCAAGGTTCCTTATTTTGCTTCAATTGAGCAACCAATTTTGATTCGATTCGATTTCGTCTAAATTATTGGCCGGTGGTTTATTTATGTGGTTTGCATTTGCATGGTGCTAATAATTAAGAATCTCTCTCTGACTAGGTGTAGTATATTGTCGTGGTTGGCTATGTTTGTCTGACGGCTAAATTGCAAGATTGGTTACTTACTAGAATTAGGATAAAATACAATTGGTAGACATACCACTTAAGTTTGAATAGGGCGTTGGATACCATTAAAGTTGTTAAAATGTGCATCTGTCTATTTTTCCATCCAACTTAAAATTTTAATTACTTTTTGATACCCGAAACTTTTAAAAACATCTAAAACTATATTTCAACAAGTTTTAACTAATTTAATAATTAGAAAACCTTCTAAACATATTATTACAAGAATGATTAATCAAATTTTCTTATTAAATAGATTAATCCAACCTAAAATATAACTATATAAGCTACAACATTGTTTAGTAACTAAACAATGTTGTAGCTTATATAGTCATATTTTCTTTTCTATATTTTTTACCGAATATTGTAGCTTTTATATTTTATTTGTGATAATTGATTCTAAACTTTCTTGGTTTGGTATCAAATATTCAAAAGAGAATTCTAACTAACCAATAAAAAATGATGTTTTTTCGTAAGTCCAGATTATTTTTTTACAATAAAAAAAGCAGAAGGACCAATTATGAAATTTAGAAAGCAGAATATTCCAAGAATATTTTGTCAACTTTAACGGAATGCATTTAGGAGTAAAATTAAGTGGTACCGGGTGTACATATAATAGAGTTTAGTGGTACCCGACGCCCTATTCAAAATTAAGTGGTATGACGACCCCAATTCTCAAAGTTAAGTGGCACCCGAGGTATTTTACCCCTAGAATTAGGGGTGGAAGTTTGGTTAGCGGTTTGCGGGTAACCCGCAAACTGCACCAAACCGCATACTTTGTTGATATCCATACCCACAATTTGTGGATAGTGTGTTGGATGTGGGTAGCAAAATATTGGGGTAAATGCCACATTTGGTCACTGGGATTACTAAATTGTGTTATGTTTAGTCATTGAAAAAAATTAATTATCAATTTTGGTCACTCGAATTACTAAAACAGATTATATTTAGTCACTCTCCCGTTAGCCTTCGTCCAATTTCGGTTACTAGAATTACTTTTTTTTTTTATGAATGTCACTCGAATTACCGAAACATGTCATATTTAGTCACTCTCTCGTTGGTTTTTGTCCAACTCCACTAACGGAGAGTGACTAAATGTGACATGTTTTAGTAATTCGAGTGACCCAAATTGATATTAATTTTTTCTAGTGAATAAACATGACATGATTTAGTAATCTCAGTGATCAAATGAAGCATTTACCCCAAAATATTGATTTGTGGTTAGTGGTTAACTACCCACACTAGTTATATTTCTTTCTTCAAAATACATTGTAACCCACATTAGTTATATTAGTTTGTGAAACTTGGAAGACTAAGAATTAAAGTAGCTACCAAAATCAAATACGCACTTATTCTATAAAACAAGACCAAGTCAATATGCAATGTTCATGTGAGATACTTTTATCAAATAATCATTGTCTGTGTGTTATATGTTTATTTTATAACAAAATCAAGTTCATAGATATAGACAGATAAATTAATCGATTCGTTAAAAGAGGTGAATAATAAAGGTTAGTCTGATATCCGAACTCATCTCCATTTCTCCACAAACTCACGAACAACACAACATGCAACCAGCTACCAACAATACAAGACTATAATCGAGAGTGGAGAATAATCGATACATTAAAAGCGGGCGTTTCCACTTATCGAGCCACTTTTGTGTTTTACTGTTGTTGCCATCCGAGGAGTCATGACATGCAACGATGTTTGTTTGGTAATAGGTCACTCCGCCTCTTCGTTATCTTCAAATCTCTTTTCAAATCCATCTCTTCTGGATTTAGACTAACTAACCTATTGTATTCGAGATTTATAATTTATTTAAGGCAAAATACAGCTGTGTATCCACAACTATCAGGTTTGTGACAAATATATTCACAACTATCGAAATACACGAAATATCCAAAAATCGGAAGGTTGTGTGACAAATCTATCCACTTCCGTCTGAAACTATAACGGCGTGTCAGACGGCGTTAAATTGACTAACGGAATGCTGAATCGATGCCATCTTACCTGCCACATAAGCCAAAAAGCAACCAAACTTTACACGTAGATGCCAAATAGGCTAGTTGAATAAAGGCAAAATACAGCTGTATATCCACAACTATCAGGTTTGTGACAAATATATCCACCACTATCAGGTTTGTGACAAATATATCCACAACTATCGAAATACACGAAATATCCATTTCCGTCCACTTCGTTAACTCCGTCAGTTAACTTGATGACTGGACAAACGGTGGATGCTTAGTTAGCGTGTTTCTGGTCCCACTGAATGACGTGGATTAAAAGAGGATTTAAAAAAAAAACCCTAAAAACCACAGACGGCGAGACTAAAAATCCAACCCAGAAACATGTCTGATAACCACTTATCCTCCTCCGATCGACGCCTCCGCCCCCAAATAACCCTACCCCAAGCCCAGATTTCGATTCCAACCACAATCCCCAACCATTGCCTCCCTTTTACTCCGACAGCTTTCATGGAGTCGGCGCCATGGTGATACCAAGCTTGAATCTCAAACAAAAAAAAAAGCTTGAATCTAACCAAATCGCCAACAGAGAAGACTGCAGCAGCGTGGTCTAACAGATAACGGTGTAAAGTTTGGTTGCTTTTTTGCTTATGTGGCAGGTGAGATGGCATCGATTTAGCATTCCGTTAGTCAATTTAACGCCGTCTGACACGTCGTTATAGTTTCAGACGAAAATGGATAGATTTGTCACACAACCTTCCGATTTTTGGATATTTCGTGTATATCGATAGTTGTGGATATATTTGTCACAAACCTGATAGTTGTGGATATACAACTGTATTTTGCCTTTATTTAACATTTTATTAACTTTCTTTTATGTATGTTTTCGTTTTTGTGTGAGAAGAAACACATCACTATTTAATTACCTTATTATTATATTTAATTTGGGTATCCACAACCAACCCGCACCAACCACCAGCAGGTAGTGGTTCTGCGGGGCGGGTTGTGGGTAGCATTATTCTATACTTGTGGGTGTGGTTACCCGCAAAATGTGGGGTGGGTAACCACACCCACCCCAATTTCCACCTCTAACTAGAATTACTAAAAAAAGTACGTTTGCCACTAAAATTGGGTAAATAACATTTTCTATCCGTCAACTATTGTATATTTACAAACGTACCTCTCTACAAAATTTTTGCACAAACATATACTCTTTTAATATTAAAACGTAACGAATTTACGGGTAAAATACCTTGGATGTCACTTAAATTTGAGAATTGGGGTAGACATACCACTTAAGTTTGAATAGGGCGTCCGTCTACTTTTCCATCCAACCCAAAATTTTAATTACTTTTTGATACCCGAAACTTTTAAAAACATCCAAAACTATATTTCAACAAGTTTTATCTAATTTAATAATTAGAAAATCTTCTAAACATATTATTACACGAATGATTAATCAAATTTTCTTATAAATTAGTAAATATAGTAAATAAATATCAAGAATAATAATAAATACACTAGAATATAATAATAGATATTTAAAATTAATATTAGAATATCTATTTAAACCCCCTAATTCAATTAGAAGCACCATTAGAAATAATTAAAATAGAACCTAATCGATTATCAATATATCAAAATCAAAGAAGGATAACTGGAACACAATAAGAAAGAATTAAACATATTCCTGTAATTGAAAAAAATTAGAACGAAAAGAAATGGAAAGTAAATAAGTAACAAATAAAATATAAAAGCTACAACATCCGGTAAAAGTTATAGAAAAGAAAATATGACTATATAAGCTACAACATTGTTTAATTACAACATGCATGGAATCATTAAATTATTAGAACACATAATGATAATTGAAATAATTATAATGATAATTGATTCTAAACTTTCTTGGTTTGGTATCAAATATTCAAAAGAGGATTCTAACTAACCAATAAAAAATGATGTTTTTCTTAAGTCCAGATTATTTTTTTACAATAAAAAAGTAGAAGACCAATTATGGAATTTAGAAAACAGAATATTCCAAGAATATTCTGTCAACTTTAACGGAATGCATTTAGGAGCAAACTTAAGTGGTACCGGGTGCACATATAATGGTACCCGACGCCCTATTCAAACTTAAGTGGCATGACGACCCCAATTCTTAAAGTTAAGTGACACCCGAGTTATTTTACCCACGAATTTACGCTTCTATCAAATTGTCCGTTAAGTGGCTGTTAAAATGACTGAAAAATAACCCAATTGTACTTACTCTACTCCTAATTTAGTTTTAATTATTTTATTTATTATTTATTTATGTTCCAAACAATTAATTAAAAGGAGAACAACAAGTTGGCTCCAACCAACAACAATAGTTCTTCCACGACTCTTCCTCCTACTTCCTCTGCAAGCGGCACCCTTCCTCTTTCCCTCCTATCCGGAATCTGCCCTCAAAGAATGCTTCTCACTTTGGTATGCTCTGATTAGTACTGGGCATGTAGGTGGTCAATTCGCGTTTTCATATCGATTCACGTGCAAATAACCCAAACTGTAGTGGGTGTCTAAATTCATAGTCTTAATAACTTACGAGTAACTTATTGTAAATATTAGTCAGCTTTCTTAATGGCTAGATGGAGAATTGTTTTTGCGGGTTAACACGCAACCCAACTGCACTCATTCGTCACCCACCCAACCCAACCCGAAGAGGAATGTGGGTGGATGACATCTCACAATTATACCAATCCGCTAGTGACCAGGTGGGTCAATTTGAGACCAAAACCCACCCAACCGGCCCATTGCCCACCCCTAGCTCCGATTGCGACGAAATCTCTTCCTGCTCCTGTTGCGAAATCTCCTCCAATCGCGCCTCCCAATCCAGCAACAACAATTTCAATTAGGAAGTCGGCAGCGTCGGCCCAGTCTCCTTCATGATCGAGAACGATGCTCAATCACAGCCTTCCAACACTCTAAAGTGTTTGAATTCAAACAAGCCACTGCCGCAGCGGGTTCGACGTCGAGAATCAGAAGAGGGGTTATTTGATCTCGCGGGTTTTCTCACTCCGTGAAGGCAATTTCACCCCACCGTCGACGACTCGGGATTCGTCGACCTAAAATTCAACTTCCTCTCGCCGCAATCGAAGC